GACACTTTTTGGCGATTGTGGCCAACAATTGAACGTCAAATGTAATGAACGCTTTGTGAAGTGTGACGTGGAATACACTCCCGAAGACAGTTCTCTGGAACTGTTTCGACACACTTTCGCAGCGGAATCGGTCTTTGAATGGGAGGTAAGACAAGAGAAGTGCATACAAGTCATCACCGAATCTGTCCATTGAGTTCTTCGCGTAAATTTGTGGCTAAAATGTGAGACAAAAACAATGAAAACTCAATAAACAGACAATTGTTAATTGAATACCTGTTGGATGTCTTCGTCCTCTTCATCTGAGGTCTTGAGTGATGTCTTCAAGTGTTTCATCTGTTGTGTCATATCTTGGGATCAAATGAAGTGATTGTATGAATAAATTGTGTTTTTGTGCTCAAAATGTCATAACATTTACGTTCAATGAAAACAACACAAAGACTGACAACAAGACTGACATCTCTTCACAAATATTTTTATGACATTTTGTATCACTTTTTGCCCACAATTTCAACGAGTGTTTAATTAAACTTTAATTTGATTTTAGATTATTATTTAATTAAATTATAATTTATATTTATAATTAAATAAATAAAAACATATTCAGTAATATTAAGTTCACGAACATTTATTATTCAAGGAATTTACGAAAAATAATAATTAATTAATTAATGTATTACGTTAATTAAATGCAATTAAAACAAGAGTTTTAAATGTTATGAAAATATTGTATTGAATATAATATTCAAATAAATGCTTAACAAAAAAATCCAAATCAAATTAGAGGTAATTTAATTGTATTAAACATTTAACACATTTTACGGCAATAAAACTTTGAGCCATTCTTTGCACGAATTTTAATGTCTTTTAGTTTAGGACTTCTGGACAACAGATCCTCGAAGTCATTGTCAGAGAGACCATCGCTTACATAGCATTGAATGACAAGCATTTGCAGCGCCGGTAGTCTTGAGATGTGAGACAAACACTCGGTGTCTATCGTGTTATTAAAGCCATGAATGAATAGATATTGAATTCGCGGACACTTTATATGCATATCTTTCAACACATTTGATGTCATTTTCAGTGAATGCAACTCTAAATGCGTTAATCTCTTGCAGTGTCGCAACGGATCCCACACTTTCTCATCGATGTCCGCCAATAGTCTTAAATCTAATCGTCTTAATCGTGAATAAAATCTCAATGAATCCAATGATATGGGGAGTGAGGGGTCGACGCCATTCTCGACGGAATGTGAATACAAGTCGAGTGACAATCGTTGCAATTGTTTGCAATTCACACCAATTGTGCGCAAACACTGGTTAACAACTAAAGAGTTGGGCGCATTCCATAGACCCGATACCAACCCGAGTGTGAGTTCCCGTAATTGTGTTAATCGTGACAATTGTCCGCACATTTCGGTCAAAGACACAGAATTGTCAAAAAAACATAACTTTAAGACCAAACTCTGGAGCGACTGATTCTGTGCCACGAATGCAGACCAGCGCTCGTTAAAAATGGCTGAATGCGATCTCAACACAAATTTATGCAAATTATTGCTAAACAGTGTATCGTTTGTATAGTCTGTGATGTCTTGAAATGATTGGACCCTTAATTGTGACAATCGGTGGCAATGAGTGATCGCTTCACTATCTTTATAGCAGTTAATACCACCGATTCGTGTGACCAGTGGTGCGATTGTATGCATTGTTTGCGCAGTATTTGGCGTCAAATCGCAATAGATTTCCCTTAAATGCCGGCAATTGTCTCGAAATGTGTTCAACACTTCAGGAATGTGTTCTTCAAATACAGCGCTTATTCCTCGGCAGTCAATGCACTCAATGTTTACACACTTTATGGCAATTGTGGCCAACATTTGAACGTCACTTCTCTTCGCATTCAGTAATCTCTGTATTAATTCATCGCTAAGAGTGATGTCCACAACACTCACGAAGACTGTCCTCTGGAACTGTTTGGACACACATTCGCAACGGAATCGGTCTTCGAGTGAGAGATAATACAGCAATACTTCATACAAATCATCACCGAATCTGTCCAAAGAGTTCTTCGCGTAAATCATTGGCTAAAATGAAAACAAAAACAATGAAAACTCAATAAATAATCATTTGTTTATGAAATACCTGTTGTGTGTCTTCGTCTTCATTGCCATCATCTGTGGTCTCGAGTGATGTCTTCTTACGTTTCATCTGTTGTGCCATATCTTGGGATCAAATGAAGTGATTGTATGAATATTTTAATCATAAAATGTAAAACAAATCAAATGATGAGATAATGTTTGGATTTAAAAGGTGTGCAAAACACGAGTTTATTTGCAATAAAAGCGATTCAATACTATTTATAACAACAGTTTTAAGCGAAAACAATACAGTATTCGTATATAAAAGGACTAAAACCACAGATAACTAGTCATACATAACTAAAGCTGCTCAGAATATGTTTTTAAATATATTTATCGGTTAAAGATATATGTTTGGGACTTTGGGGGCAAACGAATTACATAATAAGGGTCATTTTAACAAAGTTTTATTTTAAATATAAATACATATTTGACTTTTAAATAAATATAAATAAATANACATAATAAGGGTCATTTTAACAAAGTTTTATTTTAAATATAAATACATATTTGACTTTTAAATAAATATAAATAAATATTTGGTCATAAAGCATAGAAATCATTAATTTACTTGAAATTCATGGCTTAAAATATCTAAATATATATTAAATGGGAAAATAATTTCTAAAAGTTTGTTAATAATGAATCAAAACAATAATAAATACTTGTATGACATTATGTAATACATAATTGTGAGATGGTATATCATTAGTTTGACTTGGAAACAAATGATATAATTTAAATATATATTATGGCTTTGCAGGAGTGACGACCGGGACTGAGAGCTTAGGGTGTAGTTTCCGGTCGCACTACTACAATAATTTACTTTTAAAACTCTTTACTTAAAATCAACAATAATTTATTAATTAAATAATGGCTGAGAGTGAGAACTGCTCAGCTCTACAGCAAACTTATCTCTATCTATACAAACATAGCTCTGCCTGAAGTCAAGCACTTGCAGGTCTTAAATATACATTTGAAAAGTGAGAATACAATAAGTGTTATAATAAGCTTTACATTAAGTGAATGGAAATATACTAATAATTAATAGTTAAGGAAAGGAGTCATAATGAGTGATAATCCATAGGTATTGAGTATAAGGTGATAGAGTAGAGGCAGCGCCTCTGCAGCTTTAATTAACACTATTTAAATAGGATTTAAAGGCTACCGAACATTTCTAGTATAATTTTTTGTTATTTTGTTCATAGGATACATTAATTATAATTTATATAGAATATTGAAATTTATAAATAAATATTTAAATAAATATTTGACCCCTTTTTAGTAAATATATGAGCACATATTTGATCATTTTAAATAAATATTATATAACATATTTGACCAAGAATAAATACATATTCTGATCAGCTTTACATATATAATAAAAATTTTAATAAGAAAGTTGTAATTTAATTAACAAGTAGTGCAATAATATATAATAATTCTGTAATTTTGTTGTAAATTTTATTAGATTAAAACAAAACAAAATTTGGATTAAATGTATTACGAGTATAATTATGATAATATTAAAACATCTGTTGGGGTTTCAAAAGCCATTGTCCGGAGACACCAATCAATGGCCAGACAAATATTAGTGAAACAAAATTAATTGATTTTAAAGTCTTTCCTTAAAGTGTTTTAGCTCTCAATTTGTAAATCACTTATCATTTAAATCACGTAATAATCATTTGGCGTCATTTGCTCTCACTTTGCATATATACCGGTATATTGTGAACAGAAATTAAA